TGAATTCTATAGAATTAGATAAAAGATAAACAATAGAAGAATTTTACTGGACCGTACATTTGAAAATTCAACAATAAGAAATAGAAGTAAAGATCTAGTTCTGACCGTTACGGCCATTAGATAAAAGGTAAATTGAACCGAAATTAAAGTTGACCTCACATTGGTGAAATTGGATCTAAGAGTGAGATTTAACTTTTCAGAATGGGATTTACTCCTAAGTTTTAGAGAGTAGCGAAGTTGAGCGACACATATTGTTCTATGCAGAGAGTACATGTGTTAGATATATGCGTTACTATGTAGCCACATTGCTCACTCCGTGCAGAAGTGATCCCACCCTCCCAGTTTGCCCTTCCCCCCTGCGAGAGAGGCAACTTAACTCGGTTCGCTTGCGTATGCTGGCCAAGGGCTCAACCATCCATAGATATTATATTTTTTACAGAAGTGTTCATAGATTGAGCCAACTTGGCGCGGCGCCGACGATGTGTCGCACGCCTCCCCCTCTCCTCGACGATCTGTGAAGACGATTAATTAAAGAAAAAAAAAAGAAAAAATGTGATAATGATTATTCATGAAGTAATAGTTAAAGAAAAACTTAAACAAAATAGCACAATCGCTGGGCATTATTTACAAAGTGCTAGCAAGCCTAATGTCAGCAGCCTTGTCGTATTTGGTATTTAAAAAAAAAAAATGAAGTTGAAAAACGCCGAATTGCGGACGGATTTTTTACGGAACATCCGAACGTTTTCTGGAAAGACGAACACAAACACGCGCGCGCTCGTTATCGATACGAGATTAATTCCTGGGCGCGCGCGTGAAGAGAGAAAGAGAGAAAAGGAAAGGAAGAAAAATCGAGACATGGGGAGTCTCGATGGAATTTGTCCGACATTCGGCTTCCTCATACTCCATTGCATAGACGATAATTTTGTGAAGCACACCTACGGCCGGCGCAAACTACGAGCTTGGAAAAGTAATATATACCGATCAATAAAACTCATAATCGCCCGTCAGATTACTGCCGATAATAATAATATTTTGCAATAGGTCTGCAAACATTTTGCACTGGAGACACACACGCCGGACTTTTTTATACGTAGATTAAATGATAAAGGACAACTCCGGGCTCGCAGTCGGAAGTGCGGTAGGTGTGCGAAGGAGTATTCATACGACATACACAACATATCCACACACGCAACATATAGCAGCAAGGTAATAGGATTACATTGAATACACTACCTCAAATCAATAGTAATATGGATTTACAGTAATACGGGAAAAAAAAAAGAATCCGCGGCGGTCACACTCTGCGCCCCCGTTGTTGTTACGAGCCTCGATTCTTTACAGGGTCGCCGACGTTTTTTTACGGGATATATTTCCACCGAACTTTGTTGAAAGATGTATGTATAGTGGATTTATTCGCCTTGAATATTCTCGCCTATCTATATTAACCCTGGCAGACGCAGGTATGATTTTATAGAGAACGATAAACGTCTTGTGATTCTGCGATGATCGGAAATCTATTAAAGAAGAAGAAGAGTAAATATGTTATCGAGGTCATGATATTAGCAGTCAAAGATTTTAGTCGTCGCTCGTTGTTTATTAATAGGGCTCAGACAAAAGATTCGAACATGTTGAATATTCGATCTATTCGAACAGTTCGAAGTTTGAAAAAATGAGCATATAATTCGAATATTTCGGACAGTTCGGACGGTTCGGACAGTAAACAAATATAGTATGCCTTGGAAACAAAAGAGCAGTTAAATAAAATTCCTATATTTATTGATATCGTCCTACAAATATTCTGAGCTATCTTGGACATATTCGGGATGATCCCGAGGACGACTTGTGATGTCTAAGTTTGAAATGTAACAATTTTGAACTTTCAGCTCTGAAGTGGGTTAAAATAGTTCGAACATATATTCAGTCCGAACTATTTAACGTTCTTAAGATTCGAACTGTCCGAACTGTCAAATCGTCTGATGTTTCCGAGCACTATTTATTAATAAGTTATTAACAAAAGACGTTTTAAAAATAGAATATGGTTTTCTGATATTAAAATGAAAACAGAAGAGAATCTATAGTGTAAGGTGAATATTTGCATATAGCATTAATGAAGGGTTGGGGGTGAAACCCCTCCCTCGCCTATCATATTAATAACTTCTAATTGACAAAAACAGAGGAATTAAATATTAGATTGGATTGCGATAAAAAAAGAATATGAATGAATTTATTACTGGCAACAATATACGCTATGCTTTTGGTATATAATACCTACCTTGTAAGGGTCTGTCTAATCCTTTTAATTTTTATTATTTTTAGTATATTGTAGACGAAGATTTAATTTAAAACATAAATGTGGCTACAAAGCACATTTAAACATGTCGGAAAACGGTGATGTGTCCAATAAATTTTAACTTTTTAATAAATAACGAGCGACGATTAAATTCTTTTGAATGTTACTCACAAGGGAAGAAAAAAATTTTTTTTAATTTTTTTGTTTAACAATTGTTAACAAAAAAATTAAAAAAAATTTTTTTCTTCACAACATTGAAGTACTCTTGAAACTGTACAACTTTCGTTTAAAAAATTCTTTTCTATCTTTTATACTTCCGACGGTATTCGGCTCGAAATAGAAATACCATTTTTTTTTTTTTTTTCAAAGGGGGTTTCACCTCAAACATGAGTTAGTGCACGTATAAAAAAATACGTGTCTCTTAGATTTTCGTGTTTAACAACATATTTCATGGAGAATCAAATCGGTTCCGGACAGTTGTGAAACTTGCCTTGTCAGACACATTTCAATATAATTGACTTTTGAAGAAGTTCACCTTACGTGAATATTTCTCAGAAGAAGAATTGTAGACGAGAACAGATTTGCATTCCGTTTGTTAATCTCAACTGTCTATAATAGAGGAACCCAGATAACATTTTGCTAGAATTTTGCTGAAAATTTGTTTAAAAATGTTGCAAGCAATTTGCCAACAAAGTGAGTCCTCATTTGACGCAAGATTGCAAGCAAAGAAACACACAAACTGTAGTAGAGTAACTTTACAGTAACTTTGCGGTAATAATTGTGGTAAAAGTGTTTGATTATGGCAATATTTCGGCAAAATTGAAGCAGTTTTGCTCATCATCAAAAGTACAAATGTTAATTTGGCAAAATTATGGCAACATGCAAGCAAAATTTTATTTAGCAAATGCTTTTGCCATTACCATGCAACATTACGACAACAAGTATCAGTAAATAAATTACACTGCTTTGCTTTTGCACAAAATGTTATCTGAGAATACAGTTGATGTTTAAATTTGTTTATCTATGTTCCATCATCAGCATCAGATTGAACGTGAAATCAGGAGATGATTGATCGTTGGTTTCATGCATTCAGGGGATCTATCGGATCTTCGCTCGTGTTTCCCAGGGTTATGAGGAAAGGACCTACAAATGTACAAATATACTATATTAGGGAAATATTGCGAGGGCGTTGCCGCTGCGGACTTTTAAAAGAGTAGTCCTTCAAATCCAACAACGCTGCCGAATGCCGAACTGAAAAAAAAAGAAAAAGAAAGAAAGAAAAGTATCAAGAAGTATCTTTGCAGCAGAGACGGAATGATGATAGGGATGATTTATTGACTACATTCATAGTCTTTGAAGAGTAACGACGTTTGATTTATATATTGGTGAATTTTTCTGTAATTTTACGTACACTATATAAAATGACAATTCTCAACGTGTGAACGAGAGAGATTGCGAGAACGGAGAGCGAAAGAGAGAAATAAAGGGTGCGATAGAGAAAGAGCGTGAGAGAGAAAGTTTACCTTGTACATTTACAAATTGTGGTTATTACGAATGAATTATTATGATTATTAATTATTATTATTATCACGGATTATACTATGATTATTATTATCATCATGTAGAATGCTTCTTACTGACTGAATAAAATGTTTTCAATGTCTAAGATTGCCATCTTTCCAATGTTATACAAATTTTATTATATTTCCTTAAAATATTCTTACATGATATTAAAGCATCAAGATAATTGATTATGCATTCTGATTTCTTTTATTATCGCAGTCTCTAAAAAGATCCTAATGGTTGTGCTCTTTGTTTACTGTTTCTTGTTTTTTACTTTTTGCTTTTTTCCTCTTTGTGATCGTTTTATCGACAATTATATTTCTTGATATGTGTTTTCTGTTTCTTCTGAAGTTCGTTAGGCTAATTCTACAATGTGCTCTTTGTTTCCTGTTTTTTACTGTTTGTCTCTTGCCTTTTTGATCAAAAGGCAAGAAACAAACAGAGATAAACAGCAAGAAACAGGAAACAAAGAACACATTGTAGAATGGTTGTTAACGTTTATCTCGAGCAACAGAAAACGAAAAACGGAATAAGAGGCAAAAAGGCAAAATACAAAAAATAGCAAAAAACAAGAAACAAAAAGCACATTGTAGAATAGGCTTAAATTATATCAAAATTTACAAACTTGAATTAGAAAAAAAATTGATAAAAGAAATAATACTTTCATTATATCTTTTTGTTTCACCTGTATCCATTTTGTCATATTTTCAAAAACCTGTAATTATGCATATTGATTAAAATTTTCATTTTTGTAACTTTATATTGTATTACTATTCTTTTTCAGCATTTAAATTTTTTAAACGAAAAATTAAAATACGGAAAGACATTTCCTCTCAATCTTCTCGAGTTACAGGATAATTGCATTATCTGACGCCATTTTGGCTCCGAATATTAAAAATAATCGGCTGTATTCACGTTGTTTTTTCAATCCTCAAGAACAAGATAAATATATATTTGAACGTTGGAAAGAAAGAAAGCGAAAATACTAAGTGCAAGTGACGCGAACAGACTAAGTCTAGTGATTTTAACTTTGTCGCGGCGCTAGCGCCATCTACAGGTTCATTTTCGAATCTCATCATGCAGACGTACTCCCTTCTTGTCCGATTCTCGTGGTTGTCGACCGTTTGCCACGCTTCCGAATAATTATTCACGGCAACCTAGTTAATTAATTACAAAATAGAAATTACATATTTTCTATTTATAGCGAAATGACAACTTTTAGAGCAGTCGGTTCAACAGTTAAATAGTTACGTTTACGTTAATATTTTTCTAATATTTTGCGTCTTTTAATAGGTTTATTGCGGTTGACATGTTGCCAAATAACATGTTTAACAACCGAAATTTTATGTGTCACGTTCTTCCCGAACAGATTTATACGCATTTCGCATTATGGGCTGAAGTATAAGTCGATTCACTTCCCTTCATCGATGTTGCAAGGTAAAATAATTAATCTTCGACTCTATGAAATTTATTTAAAATGTCTGATTAATCTCTTGTGTGTGATCATTAATTTTTTTACATTAATTATTATTTTAATTGTCCTTTTTTGTGAATTTAAGCTGAAGTAAATATCAGTTATATTCTACTATTTTAAGCAGAATAAAAGAGATGAATCTCTTGTTTGTGATCATTAATTTTTTTACATTAATTATTATTTTAATTGTCCTTTCTTGGCAGTTTAAGTTGAATAAGTTCTATTCTACTATTTTAAGCAGAATAGAAGAGATGAATCTCTTGTGTGATCTTATTTTCTAAAATATATTATAATTATTTCTTCTTGGCAATGTAAGCTGAAGTAAATAAATTTTATTCTATATATATATATATATATATTCTAATATTTTAATTAATTACTATTTGCTTTTAAGCACATTACTGTCAAGGACTGGCTGACCACTGATATACTGTAGAGAACATTGTAGAGAGAAACATGGACCAGATCATTGATATAGACGATGTCGAGACTGGGATGCGTTCTTCCAAGAGTTCAGGGATACCCTTTGGTTGTATCAGCTCGAACTCGATATGTTACGTCATGATTACAATTGCAACTCTGGCCTTCCTTGGCACCATCGTCTTCATCTGTAGGGACTACATAAAGCTGCTGCTCTATTGGATCGAGCATCAGAATGCCTGGATCATCGCCGTGATCTTCATAGGTCTGTTCACGGTGGTGTCGTTCCCGATTGTGATTGGCTATCTGTTCCTCATTGTCGCCAGTGGCTACCTGTTCGGTGTGATACGCGGCATGGCGATTGTCATACTCTCCGCTAATCTTGGCATAGCGATTGCCCATGTCACCCTGGGCCTACTGTCCACCAGGCTACCGATTGGTGCCCTCCTGCAGAGCGATACTGCGAGAGCGATACTTCGCGTGATATCTGGATCTCAGGCTTTCAAGATCGTCCTGTTCGCGCGGCTTACTCCGATCCCGTTCGGTCTTCAGAACACTATTTTTGCAGTACGTACTGCGACACGTTCGTTGTACACAGAGCATATGCTTAATGTGATCAAATATTTTCGGGTCTAAAGTGAGAAATTTTGGCTACTTTTCTTTTAGGAGACAGTTCTTACAAGACAACTTCTTAATCTCTTTTCTTTCCAAAGAAAAAGAAAAAGAGGAAAGATGATCCAAGAAGTTCAGTTAAAGAGAACAAGCCTAATAATTGTATTACAGACTTTGGCTGCTTTCTTTTTAGGAAAAAGACAGTCAATATAAATGACGTACTATCTTGTTATTCATTGAATATCATAGAATGATTTTGTGTTGGATAGAATGGTTTGTCGTTTGTGTCGACTGTGTCTCTCCTACATTTGGATGTTAAACGGAACAAACATCCTGAAAGAGGAGCAGTCTGATCACATTAAGTATGCTCTCACGCGTAACTCACGACAATGTTATGTATATTTATACGTGTGTATGATTAGGTCAGTAACATAGGTGGTTTTCATTACCACATAGCCAGCGCAATAGGTTTATTGCCTGCTCAACTGGTCAACGTTTACCTAGGCAGCAGTCTGAGGTCGATGCAGGATGTATTGGAGGATAGATCCACAGCGGCGACTGGCTACATAGTATTTTGCTTCCAGGTGCGTCGTATGTCATCCTCAAAACTTTCGCAGAAGTAACCAAAGTAATAATTTGTTCTCGCTGTGTGTTGTAGATATTAGTAGGAGTCTCGCTGATGGTTTATATTGTACAGAAAGCGCGAAAGGAGCTACAGTTGACATTGTTCGAGGCTGATCTCGCGTCCATGGCGAATTCCCCTCATTACATTCTGGACGGTTTACCAGACTCCAAGATAATTTTAACGAATCTAATTGCGTAATTTTTTTTTTTTTTTAATGAATGTTAAAAGCATTTTTGACAATTCTTTCATTACGAGCAACAGCTCCGACTTCTTTCTCCGTAGTTATTATATTTCTAACTTATTATTCTGTGTATCTTCCAGAAGTAATTTCATTAAGACTTATTGATGGTGCTTTCGAAAATTTACTCTTGAATGAGACGTTATGCAGGAATCTGTTATCAGAGATAATATGTATTAAGTCTTACCAAAGCTAACGTGATTTTAGTACCAAACAAAGCTCATAGAGCATGCGACGCGTGCATGTATATTTTGTCTAAACAAATGGATGGAACGAGGAGTTGACACGGAACTGCAAATCCAATGTATAAAGCTTCCTTGCAATAAGAGCATATTAATTTATATATTGCTCATATATATATATATATATATGTACATCTAAGATTAATGATAGAGACTGAAACTTTACATTTATACACTTTTTGCAATGTTATTGATCAATTATTGAGGTGCGTTTGAGGAGACACTATTATCGCTGTTTGTACCATTTTAACTTTATCGTTCCTCAGACAACAAAGCGTGTCTCAGTAAAATCATACAAATTTAAAATTGCTTATGATGCTAGAAACTTGCTGTATATTTATCTTAACGATTTCGAATATACCAACATTGTACCAACACAGGTAACAATGTATATATGTATTGCGATCAATTAATGGCAAAATAGCAGCATCAAAGTTACCTTGCGTTGTCGGCAATATGATAGCATTGTGTGAGCCTATAGATTATGGCAATAGCACGAACTTTGATAATGAAGACTTTAAAATTGTCATCCCAGTAAACGAGAATGGATTAAAATGGATTGAAATTTTGTCTATCCGAATGCGTATTTTAAATAGCGAAAACTTTTTTTTGGATTCAATTGGATGCAATTGGGTTGAAAAACTGCATTTCCTATTCAAAATTTTGAATAGGAAATGCAGTTTTTCAACCCAATTGCATCCAATTGAATCCAAAAAAAAGTTTTCGCTATTTAAAATACGCATTCGGATAGACAAAATTTCAATCCATTTTAATCCATTCTCGTTTACTGGGATATCGTGAAGGCATCAACTTGCCAACAACAAGACAGACACGTTGCTATCTGGGTCATTAGACGTAAAACAAGGAATGATACAAATAGCGCTAATAATGTCTCGCCAAATGCACCCTTGGTTTCTCTCAGTTCTTTATAATCCGAAACATGGTGGAAGAAACCCACCATGAGGGTTTCTTCCACCATGATTCGAAATATGTTGTTAATGATATTTAATGTGCATTTGTCCGTTGTTTTTTCTCGTGCAATATATTCCGTTTGTATATTATTATATTATGAAGAGATATACAGAGTTATATCTGTACGATGTAATTCTGAAAGGAGAATTTGTCCCGGTGATAGGAATGGAAAAAAAACGAATAAATTTCTCATTCTTTAACCGAAGTTTGCGTGTATAAATAAATTCCAAACTCGTAGTCCTTTTCTCTCTGTCGTGTACTTTGTAAACATTTATTAGACTGACTAGAACTTCGGATGTATGTATATCCACGTTTTTCGTTTCGCTCGCATCCCGAAGCTTGAAGAATTTCGCGTATTTTCCCTGTATATAGTGCATACAAGCGATATCTGGTCCTTCCAGCTTCGAGACGTCTAATATATATCGTATTATGTATATTTAGAGGAATGGCGGCGTCGTCTCGTTTTTATGCCTGCGTACACACTTTCGTTTCGTTTCTCGTATATTTTTTTCTGTATATATATATATACTCTCCGTTCATTTTTTTACAATTCCATTATCTAACTTAGCGTAACTGGAATCACATTATAAAAATCGTCTCGACGTTCCTTATCATCATATAATCGTGTATGTACAAAGATAGAGCGCGGCCGGATACTCTTAGCTGCTATACAATTTTTGCTTCTACATCTTACAATATACATATAATTGCATCGTTCTCGCATACGCCTCTTTCCTCAGTAATGTTTTAAGCTCGCGAAAGGCTCATTACGTATGTACAATGTACAAGATGCATTTTAGCCGATGAACAATTAAGTGTAACGCACCGACAATTATGACACGGAAATAGATCGTGACTCGTCATCGTAGATATTTACATGCTAACGAAAACTTAGTTCCTGAAATTTACTCGGGTATCTTATCGCAGTTGTTCGTTTGTGGAGAGGAGCTGAAAGCCTTTGGGGGAAGTCAAAAGTGTGAAGTCGATTGTTATAACTCGTGTCGACGTTTGCACGCAATAATAACACTTTAAGATTTCACATCTCGTTAGAAGGCATTTTCGGTGAATGAACTTATTCTTAGATTATGAACAAAAAACACGGGATAACGGAGCTGCTATATCTAAGAACAAATCATTTTACAAGAGAAAACAGATCGATTTACGGGATATTTCATCCAACTCGATTACATGAAACATCCCTTGTTGCTTTTAACGCTTTTAACAATGCGGGAGATACATAAGGAAGCAATTACTGAGTTGGAAGGAACATTATGGTCAGTACAATAAAATTTCTATATTCAATTATAATTTTCATATAAAAATTTCCTTATTTAATTAATTATAATTTGAAATCATAATCAATTAAATTAAGTAACGATTAAACTAATTATAATTTGAGATTGTAATTAACTAAAGAAGAAAATTTTATATGTAACTGACCATAACGTTTTTTGTCTCCGTCACTCTCTCTGTAAGCCAGAAAACCGCTAGACTTGAGATTAAGAGTTACAATTTGTTGCGTTTAGCGAAGCTGTACAATAATTTCTTGGCTTACATACTTTTGATAGAAAGTAGCATATATTGTGTCAAGTTTGCTTGAAAGCATTAAATCGCAATGCTTTAATTAACAGCTTCCTTAATGCGCTATTTCTAGCCTTAAATCTCCCTTCAATTCACACTCGACAAGAAATATATTATTTCAGCAAACATAATAACAACAACAACTTTATGGCCACATTATAAACACATAGCTATATAGAATACAGAAGAGATTACATATAAAATTGATCTCTAGTTTACTTACGTATCAGCTAACCAGTCCATTAGAAAGCTATCGATATCACAAAGTTCCCGATCTCAAATAAGTGTAGGTAAGTATAAATGACACATAGAGTGCTTTGTCTCGAATCGTTTTTCTGGTTCATTAAGAAAAAAAAACAGAAAAACTCTTAACAAGCGTATTATAAGACGAAATAAATAAAATTATGAGAGGCAGTTTTGCAAATGTTGAACCCGAAATCTACTGCAATTCTTTTTTCTCCCATGATTAGCACAACATATCAAAAGGAGAAAAACAAATCACACCACAAACGTGGCGAGGCTCGTCGTAAGTTTAGAAAAATGGATTACTTTGCCAGCTGTAACAAGGATATTACTGTTGAACAAAAGAAGAAATGTGATGTGAACAGAGAACATTCCGTCAAGGTCTTACGACCCGCTCGCTGTGTCATTATAACGGTAGGAGATCGATCAGATTCGCCCGCGGCTGCGTCAACGATTCCGGGAAAAATTCCGCGAGTTTGTTGTATAGCTCAGTTCGCAAGTTATGTACATCACGCGCGTTCGCGCATTGTTGCGTCGCCACGCCAGTCGTCAGCTCATTCAGAATCGTGCTAGAATGAGAGGCGTCCTCCAGTGAGTTATTCTGTTTCCGGAATAAGATCGATGTCAAGAGTTGAAACTACGAAAGAAAGACGGTGATTAGGGAGACGATATTACGCTTAGCGATCAGTATATTCGCGATGGTAAATATAAAAATATATGAAGAAATGGATAATACCTCTTTCGTTTGTTGCATGTCACTGTGGTCGATAATTTCGAAGATCTTTGTCTGCAGGTACTCGAGGGCTTCTATACTATTGTTCAGGGCGAGCTCTTTGAACTTATGCTTTCTGATGATCAGCTTGCACCTTTTCAAAATCTGTTCGCCCGTGGGTCGACGCAGTTCCAATTGCCAAAAGTCGTCGAGTCGCAAATTTGGAAGGCAGGATCTGCCGGGATTGCCGCCGAACAGAAAATGAACCTAACGAGAATAATTTGTAAAGAATTATTGAATTAATTAGCAAATGGACATTTATTTAAAATGGTAATAAAAGGACACAATTATTAAATACAATTTTCAACCTTTCTAGTGTGATCATAAACGAGTTGGTGTGCAAATCGCGGACATGGTTCATAATCCTGCATCTTGCTCCAGTATTTTTCACCGACGTTCTCGTTACGATATATACAAGACCATTTGCTGTTCTGAATATTGTATACCCAAAAAGAATTTTGCACGTTGTCGTCCCTCTTATCTTTGTCTTTGCTCAAACCCTGAAAAATATACATGTAATATATATAAAAATATAAATTATATTATTTATATATAAATTAAATACGATTTATATAATACAAATGTAATATACGGAGTGGTTTATTTTAATCTCAATAAGGAAGTATTTCGAAAATGCATTTTACCAAAAAAAATATTCCAAATAAAAATTGTATAATACACAAAGGGAGACGTCCCTTCTCTATTATACAACTTTTATTTGTAATGTTTTTTGGTAAAATTGTATATTTTCGGAATATTTGCCTGTTAAAATTAAAATGAATCATCTGTATGTTATATAAACATAACTTTTATAATTTAAGATAATACAATTTATATATAAAAAATATCAAATTAATTATTTACGAGGTTGCAAGAATTAATTCATATAATCCTGAGAAAATTCTTTATTTTTATATAATCGCAAATTTCACATATTAATTAATTGCGCCTCAAATTAATAATCTCGCTACGCGAGATACAAACCGACAGAACGTAGATCTCGCCGAGTTCAGGATCGATGGTCGCTCTCTGCGTGAATCCAGCCGCGGGAACATGATTAGAATCCTTCGTCGTGCCGAACTCGTTGTAGCTTATGTACTCGATGTGTTGCGTATCAACCTCGTACGTGAAGAAATCGCTGAGATATTCTTTTCCTCTTTGACCGGCGAATATGTATAGTTTTCTTGACCGCTGGAACAAGATCTCACTTAGCAAAAATTTCGTCATGTATTTGTGAATTTGCTTGTTGTTATTTCTTTCGTACGCTAAAGAAACAAAGTCGGGGGAGGGAAGATATGGGATACCAACCGGGTGAAACAGCATGGAATGACCAGCGCGGGATCTGTAGATAGGCATGTCTCTCGAGCACTGTTTATCGGCAATATCACAGGCGAGTCTGACCCACGTGCCGGTTGGCACGTGGTAAGAATACAATCCCGAGAAATGTGGCTCCGGCATTACACTGTGTTCGTCGGCACTACGTGAGTTAGAAAAAAGATGTCAGAGGAAGGTACAATAAGGCTCGGTTCTACCAATGTAAGATTAACTTTAATTTCGGTTCAAGTTACTGTCATCTTTTTCTAATATCCATTTTTACCAATGTAGATTAACTTTAATCTCGGTTCGACTTACTCTTCATCTTTTTTTTAATTCTTAGAACTAGAAAAAGAAGAAGAGTTAGTTGGATCAAGATTAAAACTAAATTACATTGGCAGAAACATAATTTTAAGAATTACAAAAAAATAAATAGTAAGTTACGCCAAGATTAAAGTCAATCTTACATCGAATGGATCAAATCTAAGTGTATAATTTTTCTAAACCTGTTTCTTCTAATCCTCTGCAGCTTACTTACCTATTCTGATGAGTTAGTACTCGTCCACCAAAAACATAGATAGTTCGCTTCTCTACGTCCATTGACATTTGATGGTCAAATACAAGCGGTGGCCCACCTATCGTTCCGGTGTCCTCTGAGATTTGCGTCCATTTGTTCGACTCGATATCGTAAACATAAAAGTCGCTTTTTAAATTCTCACAGGTACGATACTGCGTGTCCAAGTACCTGCCCAATGTGAAGAGCTGCCGTCTCTGCGGATCTAAGCACATCTTGTGGCATGAACGCGCGCTAGGCCCTCCCTAGAAATCAGAGATTGCTGTAAATATGACGAAAATAAAAGGCCTGTTCTTTTTGTTTGAGAATTGAACTTTTTGCACGGTTCTCTTTTCTTAAAAATGAATCGTGCAAAAAGTTTAGTTCTGGAAAAAGAATAAGCCTGAAATAAAGTATGCATATGTCTGGTCTGATAATTTTGTAGATAAAACATATTTATTTATCAAAATTGTAACACGAAAAAATCTTCAAAAGACGTAAATTGTGAAATTTATTTTACACAAATCTTCTTAGTTATATTTTTTATACTTTATGATACTTAAAAATTCTGCTTTATTCATAAAGAAACTCATTAGTGATTGTTCTTTCAAAATATCATTTGATAGAAATTCGTAAGGGGAGGGTTTCACCTTTGCAGGCATAAAAAAATCGAAATTTTTTTCCTTATTTTGATTCTTACATGTGTGTAAAATACCTATAAAAAGATTTTTCAAAATTCGTAATATTAACAGAATTATGAGCTCAAATATGTAAGGGCACATGGGGCCTCTAAGCGCTTAACTAAAACTTTAAACGCGTTTTTCTTGAAACCACATTTTTCGACCTGACGAAACTGATAACTAAAAACTAGATTAAGATATCGAATTAATTCTTTTTTCCTCTTAATCCTAATACTTTTGCGCATGGCACGAACCAATTATGATTTTACAACAATCGATTTGTTATTCACAAAAAAGTAACAAATTTTTAGGAAAAAGGGGGGAAATTAAATTTTTTTTAAATGCCACCATTTTTACAAATTTCAGGCAATTGATATTATTTTGGTTCATGCCATAGCGACACTCGTATAATTAATAAAAATGAAAAGAATTTTGATTTCAGATGATTTACAGAGTCAATATTATTTTCTTAATTCTTTTTTCCTCTTAATCCTAATACTTTTGCGCATGGCACGAACCAATTATGATTTTACAACAATCGATTTGTTATTCACAAAAAAGTAACAAATTTTTAGGAAAAAGGGGGGAAATTAAATTTTTTTTAAATGCCACCATTTTTACAAATTTCAGGCAATTGATATTATTTTGGTTCATGCCATAGCGACACTCGTATAATTAATAAAAATGAAAAGAATTTTGATTTCAGATGATTTACAGAGTCAATATTATTTCCGTCATGGAGACGTGTTTTGCAAATGACCCCTAATTCGATCATTTGGAGACATTAAAATGCATATTCATCTAATTAAAAAATATTTTTTTTACTGTTTAAACATTACATAATTTCATGCAAAACCCCCAAAAAATGTATTGCTCTGTATATAATAAATTTTTCTTTAAAAATTCATGAAACCGAGCTAATTTTACGGCCGGTAAAAAGGTGGAAACCCCCCCCCCCTTAAAGAAAAAACATCTTATTGAATTTACTGAGCACATTTATACGCTGTCGGAACGTGATATGCGTGCAATACAGTGAAAAGACAAGAGATTAATTATATGTTATTCTGTACCATGATTCTGTAATTTTTAAGGGATTACATATGTTCTCGGTGTTGACAAATTACCATATTTTGATAATCTTTCTCAGGAAGGGAGTAAAATTTAAAAACTAATCATTCTACGCTGTAACTAAATTGGACGGAAAAAATTTCTTGACATAAATAATATATTAAGAAACAACGTGGAGTTTTCAGATTTTTAATTTATCTTATTCCTTCTCTAAAAAAAAATAGAAGTGTCGATATTGTTATATTGTCATTGTGCAGGTATAATAAATGATTTAAAAAATTGTGCAACATAACGATGCTAAACTGTCGTTAAAAGTTACAGAATCGGGATACTGGTATGTCGTATTGTCGAATGAAATTTATTCAACACTACTAACCACCGCTTCAGTGTCCTTGCATATGAGGGTCCATTTGCCGGTCTCTATGTCGTACGACCACAGGTCAGAGAGATCCTGATTACCGTCCCATCCACCAAAAAGATAAAGTACCTCAGCCGTCGGATCAAGCACCATCTGATGACCGCCCCGCATCCCAGGCTTGGGCTCGCTGGACGATAACTTCGTCCAAATTGCTCTATAAGTTTGAGCATTGATATAATCGTTTAAGAGTCCCACTAAAAAGCGGATTTAACAATGTATAAGCGTCACGGCTGTGAAACGGACACAAGTCGAGGGAGGGAAATGACATGATCGGGCCACGTAGGACTTACTCGTGAGCGCGTTGCTGATAAAACGCTCTGCCTGCAAATGATCGCCCTTGGTAACCAAAAGTTCGTACAGCGTTGACAGTCGTGGATCTTCCAGGGGAACTCCGGTGACCCTCTGCAAGGTTTCCACAATCTCGGGCTGTTCCATTTGCCGGAAGTGTTTCATGCACAGTCTTATTATCTCCTTCTGCCGGTACTGCAATATAAAAAGTCCATTAGTTTCAATTAAAAATATAAAGCTTTTATATGAAGTAAATTATAATTATTAGTCAACGCCAGACGTGGATAACAAAACTGTAATTTTCCAATTTTTTGCGTTTTTATATGAAATTGATCAATCCGGAATGCCTAATTGTCTATAATTTAATTGTGGAAAATTATCCATAATTATCTATAATAATTTTATTTGTAGAAACGGATCTTCGAGTGTTTTCTTGCAATCTGTTCCATAATGCATTTACCGTATTGAACCACTCGAGACAGGGTTTAATGACCTTAGGGTCATTGATACCGGTTAATCTGATGTGCCATATAGAAAAATTAAAACTGGGACCCCACGACTGCAACGGAAGAACTTTTACGTAACGGATAGGAAAGTAATTTGCTTCATTCCCTAAAACATGTTTGAGATCAAATGTCTCTGGTATAGAATCATTCCTCAGCCCACTGAAACAAATGAAACACTCTGGTTAAGCAACAAACATAACAATTAAAAGAGATAGGTATATAAAAGCATTTATTTCTATTCTAAGACAAGCTCTCTAAGAAGTAAGCAAAGAAAAGGAAAATACAATGGAATAAATATACAAAAATATGGAAAGTTTGACAAAAGTAATACAGCATAAATAATATCTGAAAAACAAAAGGATGTAGAAATATACAAAATTATAAGAAAGAGTCGAAGTAGTGTGTGTGTATGTGTATATATTATATAAAATAATAGTAGTAGAAAATCTACAAAATTATGCAAAAATAAAATAACAGTAATAAATGATATAACAGTAATAAGTAATATAATAGTAACGATGTATGGAGTAAGAAAATATATAAAGAAAGAATAAAAATAAATTAAAATGAAAGAAACAAAAAGAAAGAAAAGAAAGAGAGTAATTGTTAGCGAACCTTTCGAGGAGTTCCATCATATTCTCAGGTTCCAAACCACCGAATATCTTAAACTTCTTTATATTACATACATGGGTCTTCTCATATTTGCCAAAAGTGATGCACTTGACGATGGAGGGGCTTTGAAGTTTAAGGATGAGGAACTGAAAAGAATAATCGGCGAAGTGAGCGGCATGTGACGTGAGTCGACATGTGCGATACATACCTGTGGATGATTGTCGATGTCGGAGGACCAACGTGATGACTGATCCGACGGTATATCGACGATAATATTTCTGAAAAAGACATTGTACGTGAATAGCGACGAATGAAGTTTCGTTATCACAATTTTGACACACGCAATGGTTTCCGGAATGTTATATTTAGGTTAGAAAACGCGGTTACTTCAATAAGGAGATTCACCGACTGTTTCTCGACGATACGATTTGCGAAGGTTAGAAGCACTCACTCGGGTCTATAACAGGAAGAATAACTGGAACACTTGTAAATTCGATACTCCAACACTTTTTGAAAATCACCACTCTCGCTCGACGCCATGTTACACAAATGACATAACCTTCAACATTTGGGCTGCGCTCTACCTGGCGCTCGCAACGCTCGACCCATGGTGTAATAAAGAAGAGGTGTACTGTTGCGCAAGAAGATGATTAACCAATGAGGATGGTGGAACAAATGACTGGTCATATTAATATATCAGCCAATCAGCGTTTTCTCTGAGATATTCAAAATGTGGTATAATTTAAATAAGGAAATGACAATTAATGATTTCATTTTGTTGAGCCATACTATAGTGATCTTTTATTATTAATTATTATTAATAATAATTTAATAATAATTGTTATAAATCCCTCTTCTAGTTAATAATAATATTATTAAATTATTTATATATATGAAAAGGGTAAAGATAAATAAATAAAATGCTTTATCAGAATTTATTAGAAAAAAACAAATAAATTTGTAAATAATAATATTTAATTTATATATCTACTACTTTTGAGGTTAATCTCTTTGCCACAAGCTTTCATCCACTTTGTCGCAATGTCACTATCTTTTGGAAACGAAAAAAACTTTATTTTTTTACTTTCGCATTTTCACTGCAATTTTTACACCCATTAACGCTGTATGCCACCATTTTTTTTACAAAAATTACAAGTGATACATCAGTCTCTTTATTTTCTTTGCTATGATTTTCCAATAATGGAAGGCGACTTGTTCCAACGTTATATATGCGCAAACGCGTCAAAATTTGGTTTCACGAGCACACCTCTTCTTTATTACACCATGGCTGCGATCTACTTGACGCTACAAACGTTTCGAAGCGTTTGAGCGACCAATCAGAACAAAGAATTTTACGAATTGACTAATCAAAGAATGCTTCGAAGCGTTTGTAGCGTCAAGTGGACCGCAACCATAACCAGAATTTGGCTGCGTTCAGCAGACTCAACAGTTTTGCAACCGTTTTATGATTGTCTGCTGAGATAGGACCATTCTTCTAGATCTAAAAGTATGATCCAATTAG